CTTTCTCAGTCAATATTAATGAGATCCAGTTACATTGAATATGTAAGCAAGCAGATAAACTGGATTAGACATAATTAATCTGAATATAAATGCATTCATACAATATGCAAGGTGAATTATTAATACTGTCATGCATATTTAAAATTAAAATGAGCTTGTTAACTACATAATACAATAAATCTCAATCGAACAAGAGATCATTATCATTATTGGTGAACAATCCCTTTTAATTAATGCGGGTCCCTCAACTCTGTAGCATAATAAATCAACCATTCAATATGTCAATAACTTATCCTGTTGGAGGAGTTCATTATTACTATTATTGAGATTCATTTACTATTAGGCGAGCACTTCCATTAAAATACTATGTGGGTCACTTAACCACTGCATGAAAAATCGAATAACCAATACGCCAATAACTTATTCGGTTGGCGAAGTTCATTATTGCTATTGGCGGGCAAATCCCATCATTTCCATATCTCTTAAGACAATGCCTTGTCTATCTATATGAAATGATTCCCGATTATGTTTAGCCTTTCTAAAATCACCTAGTATAGACCACTCCGTTGGGGAGCTAACACTATTAATTTTAGATTGAGTGTATAACGTTATTAATGCTCTAATGAAAAATAAAACATTAAATATCTTGTCATTATAATCTAAACTCTTTAAATCATGCGTAGGGCCTTATTTTTAAAGATCTAATTACAATGAACATTTAATATTATTATTTTCATGAGATAACCATTCTTGTAATATTAAGACTCTTCAAATCATGCGTGGGGCCTTATTTTTGAAGACCTAATTACAATGGTGTTAATAACGAAGGCCATGGGGCAATGTATAAAAATCCCCGCTCTCACTCAATTTTTAATCATTCATAATTAGGTTTTTCATTTTATTTATTTACATGATATAATGCATGCAAAACGTCTTGATTTTAATCCAATTAAATTTAGAAAATATTTGGACTTTAAACGATTCACTAATATTTAATTTGAAGCACACTTTAAAAATAATTTACAAAAAATAATTTTGCGTTTCCCAATAAGTGCCCTCAAATTAATTAGTAATCAGATCCAATTAATTTTCATAACTTAATTAATATAAATCAAGCCATTTAAATAAATATCATTGATCCAATGCATGAATAATAATTAATTAACAATTATATATTCCATGCATTTCATACATCGCATAAATAAATAAATGACAGATAAAGCAAATAAAATGACCAATGGAATCAGCTTTTAACATTTAACTACTCTAAGTATTGCGGGAAGATCATCCATCGGCTTGCAAACACCCACATAAGGCTGGTACGCACCGGGAGAAGCAAAACACCACTTGGAACGCGCCTGGAGGGCCCCACACGCGCTCACACGCGCCTGGGGCATGCTGCAGGTGAAGGCACGCGCGTGGAGGGAAGGTGGATTTGGCTGGCGCGTGAGACCCACGCGCCAGCATGTCTTCAATGCCTCTAGCTCTTGGCGCGTGCTCCTCACGCGCCAGGCTCACCACCATAGAGCTGCACCTGATTCTAGCCTCCTCCGACCTCTCTTCTCGCCGCCGGCGATGCTCCGGCCACCGGAAAAACGCTGAAAAATCTCAGAAAAATTCCCAGAAAATTAAATTAAGCCTAAAAAAATTTCAGAAAAATTCCAAAAAATTCAAAAAAATTCCAGAAAATTACTAAAGCATAATTTAACCCTTTTGGACCTTCTTGAAGCTTCATAGCATCCTTTGATGAATATTACATGGCTTTAAAAATATTTACAACTTGAAATACAATGGAAAAAATAAATTACATCATTGAACTTTCAAACGGCTAAATCAAAGCCTTAATTACATTCATCCAAAGATAAAATTACATTAATTTAACCTATAAGCTTCATCTATGACCCAACCATACATCATCATTCATTCACAATTATTCATACATCATCATGTATCAATATATATCAACATATTAAATCATACATCAACATACATCAATAAATAAATATATATGCATATCAAAATTGGATTCATGAATGATGAATTTTGATAAAAACATGATCTCTAGTAATGAATCAAATCATGCTCTGATACCACTGTTGGGAAACGTGCAAGTTTTAAAAACTTTTCGAGGGATTTTGATTCATAGATCTTGATTCATCACATAGAGACAAATTTTATGCAAAAATAAAATATGATGTATCATTCAATTAAAAGATTGAATACTTATATCAAGGTTTGAGTAAACCTTAGATCTCTCCTCTAAAGTGAATGTTCTCACTTATTGTAGATCCCTTTTACTAGACACGTTTTCCATGGATCTCCATCTTCTTGGTAATGGTCTTGCCTTTAGGAATCACTCATAAGCCTCCATGAATGACCTTGAAAAATTAGGCTTGTGGGAGCCTCTATTAGATGAGAACACTAACCCTAATTTTCTAGAGAGAGAAAATTTATTCCTTTTTCCTTCTCATAAAAATCACCCCTAAAATATACATAGGCCATGTATATTTATAGGCAACATAAAAATAAAGAAAAGGAAACAACAAATCCTTATCAATCGCTAATTCATATGTCTCAAATCTAATAGGATTCCAATATCAAGTTGGGCTATTAGTGAGAATCCATTGGGCTTATTATTTTATTGGCTACAATGAATTAATAATTGGCCCGGTCCATGGACCCAATTCAATTAATTCATAAATTAATTTCTATTCCACTAAAAGAAATTAATTGAACTCCAATTAAATAATAAATAACCTCTAAGTCAATATTGCACTTTGACCCCTCTATGCATAATTAGTTATCGGATAAATAAAGCCATCAATCCGACTACTTAATTAATATATTTATTTTGGTACCATTGATTATTTCTGGCTCGATCACAATAAAACATTTGTTTGACAAAAATAATAATTTAAATACATAAATATATAATAAATCATTTTGTCTAAAAACACACGAAGGCCTTCGAATTTACTTTGTGACCAACCATAATCAATACAAAATAAATACAAGTAGCAATGATGTAAATATTGAAAATATAACCCTCTAACTATTAATCACATAATTACCCAAAGTGTCGGTCTAAGGATTTCGAAGAATCCGCCGAACAAATCAAAGTAATTATTAATTAATAAAAGAGTCTATAATTTTTTCATGCTTAAGAGTCAAATGCCATGACGATGATAGAGAGCAATTACATACGACGGCTCTCGCAATATATCTCAACCTAACGCGGATCCAGTTCAAGTCTTAATTAATTATGAGTCCATCCATAATTACCGACTATGAACAATTTATAATTACTATTTATATATTATGCATTGATTGTCATCACTTACATATATATATAAATATTTCTTGTAATCACAGGGACACTATCAATTTCATAGTGAATCGAAATATAATACATTGAATTCACTAATTATATAAATCATAGATATTTCAGATATGTCAGGAACATATGTCACTATAATCCAGATAAGAATTTGCTATGCCAGGGCATATAAATCCCAACAACAGTAGAATATGATTTAAGTCTTAAAATGTAATTACCAAAAAAACATATCAATTATATTCGACGGTCACCATATTTGGTGTGAAAAAATTTGGTGTGAACAGAAAAGCGAAAGATCATTTGTGTGTGTGTGTGTGTGTGTGTGTGTGTGTGTGTGTGTGTGTATAACTAGATTGCTTAGGCTGGACATTTAATGGGTTGTGCAACATTGTACCCCAGTCCCAAGGCCGTCCTGAAGCCCAAAAACAACCAAACTAAGCCCAGCCTTGTGAACCAAAGAAAAACAAAGTCTGATTAATGCCCAGTTTGGTTGTAGGGTAATGGAAGGAAAATAAAAGAAAAGAAAGACAATGGAGGGAAATAAAATATTATGCTTGGTATAGATTATTAAAGGAAAAGAAGGATTCAGAAGTAGGGATGGCAAAATATTTTACCCTGTTGGATACCCGTCCCGTTTAAAATGGTTATGGGGGTGGTTAAATGGTTTTGGGAGATGATTAGGATTGAAAACCTGCATGGGTTATGGGGCGAGGATGGAGAAATATCACCCCACCCAACCCCATTTGTAGTAATAAATTACAATTTCGTATTTATTCTTTGTGTTAATATTTAATAATATGTGGTATATATTAAACAAATCCAAATTTGTTATATTTCAATCACTAAATATATTTTTGTATTATTCTTATTTGAGAACTTTTATGTATTATTTTGATATTATTACAATAATATTAAGTTTAAAGTTCCAATTGAGAAGTTGAATTTTGTTTTCGTTCGTGTATGAGAAGAAAAAAATTATTATTATAGTTGAAAATTTATTTCATTATTTACTACAATTACGAAAGTATTCTACAAAACTTGTCCCCTCCCCGCTCTATTTAATAAACGATTTTGGGATGGGATGGAAGTAGCTATGCTAAAGGAGAATGGGGATGGAGATGGCATTCCTTACCCAATATTGCCCCGTTGTCATCCCTATTTGAAATGATATAAATTAAGCTTGATGTGTTGGCATTGTTATTCTCCCCAAAATGAGAGGAAATGGAAGGGACTAGCATTTTTAATAAAAAATTGTTAATACCAAATTTGCCTTTATTTCTCTAAAAGAAGAAAGCTATTGAAAAAGGGTAAGGTAGTAAATTTATTAAAATCGTTTCATTTCCCGTTAACAATATCTTCTCCTTTCATTTCATTTCTTTCCTTTCATAATTAATGTTTCAATTTTTTTTCTTTTACAGTGTATTAAACATAGGATAAATATTTATACAATTTTTTAGAAATATATTTCATGCATTAAGACACACACACACAGACGTATAAAAATTAGTATCTATACTTCTTTACGAAATAAAGTAACAAGAAAAATAAAATAAGTGCCACCAAGAAGTTGATAGGGCCCATTACTATCATATGGGCTTGACGGGTCACACGAGCCATTACCAATCCCAGTGGGCCTTTATACCAGAAAATTGTTTCAAAAAGCACAAAATTCAAAAGGGCAAAAAATAAAGAAAAAGTGGTGATCATCTTTCACCGGCAAAAACAGGCGGTGCTCTCTCTACACCAGGTCTAGGGTTTGGTTTAGGGTTTCAAATTCGATCGCTGCGGAAATTGAAGAAGTAGAACCACAGAAATGCGTACCCCATGTTGCCATACCTTCCTCGCATTCCATCTCAAATTCCTCAACTTTCTCCAAAGTTTCGTTGGACTATCGATCATTGTATACTCTGTGTATATGCTCAATCAATGGAACAATCAGTCTCTAGTCCCTCCAGCATCAGCTCCGTCACCAGGATATTCTGATTTCCTTTTGTCCAATTTCGACCTAATTAGGGTTCCTGATCGAGTCACTCCTTTGAATTTTGCTACTGACGTGGTTTCGGGTTTCGACGGCCTCAAACTCGCACTTCCAGCTCCTTGGTAGTGTAAATGTTTCGGAATTTGAACTGCATTTCGTTTCTTTTGATTGATTTGTTTTGTAATGCAAATTAATTGTACTTCGTTTTCTTTATAGTTTTGAATTGGGGTTGTTCATGTTGCCTTCAAGTTGTACTGATTACATCTAATCTTATCTCAATTGGGATGGGTTCAGTTCTTAGTTGGGTTGAATGCTTTCAGTATTTCACTGCATTTCCATTTTAATGATTTTTTTGGTTATATAATTTTAACCTGTTTGTTTTTCCGCAGTAGTGAGTGCGGTATGATTTTTAAAGTTACTGTATGGCTTTATGGTTGTTTGTGGTTATGATTGATTGGGTTGCATAAGATTGATTTTGAATTTGTATCGTCTTTATGGCTGTGGTAATATGAAATATAGGGTGTGCTTGTACTTATGGGTTATAATGATTTGGTCGTCTTCTTTTTTAACTATATATATATATATATATATATATATGGCAGGTTCATATATGCATTTATGGGAGTGGGTATTCTGCTGTGTTGTATCTCTTGCGTTGGTCATATTGCAGCTGAAGCAATTAATGGGTGTTGCCTTTGTTTTGTATCCTTCTTCTCTCTATAAAATTTTCAACTTATGTTGTCTAAGAATTACACATGCCATTGTTCTTAGGCGTATTTATAATGAACAACTAATATTGCCTTTTTGTTCTAGAACATCTGGAGTTAATGTGTCATGGCTTTTTAGAATGACTTACCAGAGATCTAGAAACAAGTGGAATTTCCTCATCAGTCATGATGATGGGTTTGACACTTTGATTATATGTCTGATTAATTTTGCTTGTTTTGCATGCACTATCAGATGTGTTTAATTCCTTGACTATATAAAATTGTTAGCATGTCCTACTCACAGTTGCACTCATTTTACTGGAAGTTGCTTTGGTGGCATTTATTGCGCTTAATCGTCAGTGGGAAAAGGTAAGTTTGTTTTAAGATCCATCCTTCTGTTGGTGTGTGGATCATCCTGTTTACGTATCCTACTATATAATTTCTTTAGGATCTCCCGTTTGACCCAACTGGAGAAGTTGATAGCTTTCGTGCATTCATTGAAGACAATGCTGATGTGTGTGTGTGGGTTGGCAACACTGTGCTGATAATTCAGGTATGTTGTATTTTTATATTGTTAAGGACCGTCGTCCTTTTATCCTTTTTGTCTCTGAAAGGACTTCATAATTTCTGTTCTAGTTTATTATTGATCATCATTTGCTATCGGGAACGTTTGATTTGAAGTTGAACATCGAAACTGGAGTCAACCCATGGAGAATATGAATGTAAAGCTACCACAAGCCCTATTTTGATTATGAAATTCAATAACACAACATTTTAAAGTATCATTTTACAACAGAGAATTATTCCCCCCTTGCTGCAAAAGAAATGCAAATTAAATAACATTGACTTAAGGAAGCTGTGTACCTTAGGAGAATTTTCGTATCTAATATACTAGATATCGGTGAAATATTTGCATGATGCGAAAATGCCATCAGGAAGGCCAAGTCACATAGCACTCATGAGCTCCTCTCTATTTTAGGTCCAATCTTGCTTGAAACTAGAACGCACTTTCCCGAGTCTCTGATGAGGGACCATGCGTACATCTAATGGAGATCACCCACTTATGTCAAGTATTCATTCTCTTTTAATTTTTAAATCTGACTTAACTAATTTGATCCCGTGTCTTTATAAGTATGTTTTATTTTGACCTATTTTTATATGCAATATACAATCTTATAAGGTCATTGCTTAGTGTTGCCTCCATTGACAATGGGAGAATAGTACTCGATTACACACTCTCACACGTGATGATTTGAACTTCTACAACTGTACATACAAATCAGTCCTTTTCAGTAAACAATCTTAATGACGGGAACGTTACAATATGCCATCAAGAAAGGTTTGATTCCCTTCAAAAAAGGAAAAAGAAAATAAAAAATATATCTGCATTTTTTCAATGTTGTTAGGATTCAAATCTTACATTGGATCAATTAGAGGGTCCATAAGATTGGATCTTAGGAGCAGAGCAACAATGGTAAGATGCAACAAAATGAGTGAAAAGACACGGCACTATATAGTATATAATAAAGAATTCTTAACCTGCATAGAGAATAAGTTTAAAACACATAAAAAATAGAAATACTATTACAGACATATAGTACATGCATTTGTACAAGTAGTTCACACAAGTAAATTTGATAATGCATGTATGCTTAATTATTCCAAAATTTCTATTTAATGAAACAAACCTAGATAATTTTGGTAAACAATCTACTAATTATCAATTTCATATGCCAAAACAACAAACATTGTTTTGAAAATCAATCCACTCTACAAAATTTTCAAGTACCATAAAATATATATATATATATATATATATATCTCGCCGGAACTTTTGTATACCTGTACAATCCTGAACTATCCTATGGCACGATGCTACTATGATCCTGAACGATCCCATGGCACGATGCTACTATGATCCTAAGATTGTGAATGATCCTACAACGATCCTACCTCTATGTGACCTTTTGAACGATCTGGATCGTGCGATCCTACTAGGTTTTTTTTGAGGATTTTCTTAACAAATTATTATTACTATTTTTTTATATATATATTACCGTTGTTTTCATTGATTCCATCACAGCTTCCTTGTCTCTTTTTCTATGTGTATAGCTAATTGGCCATGGATATTCTAATTTTAGGTTTTGCTTCTTAATGCTCAGAGCACTGTAATAGGAAAAATGATCTTTTCATACCAAAACCAATTAACCCCCCTCCCTTTTCTCTCTCTCTCTCTCTTTGTCGCAGCCTAGCCACGACAGACAAAAAAAAAAGATGAATCGAAAATGAATATACAAGGAATCCCAACTTATGGATATGACATTTAACTGCATACTTGATCAATATATGTTCATTAGACCTGTTAACTGTGTTCTGATATTCATTTTTCTTGGGTTTATTTTCAGGCATTATCACTGTTTATTGCAATGATTTTGCGAGCCATGGTGTCTACTCAGAAAGCACACCATGATATTGAGGGGGATTATGATGTTGTCAGTGGTAGAACTCGGGAGCCATTGTTAAATCCCCACTTAAGTCAAACATCTGGCTCAATCAAGGGTGATGCAAGAGGGGTTCACTCTGACATCTGGGCTTCACGGATGAGAGAAAAGGTATGTCCTTTAAATAGCATTTATGATATTCTCAACCTGGCAACCCCAACTTTAGAAACTTTTTTTTCTTTCTTATTTCTATATATAACATGTTTATATCTCTTCTTGGTGAATTAACGATATTGGTATTTGAAATTTAAATAATGGTGAAAAGGTGCTGTTACCTATTCCATATAAGTTAAAGTATTGTTTTAGATATTAATACTATGATTTTCTCTTTGGTTCTCACATTTTTTTGTGCTCCTGTATCTACTGTGAGTAGTTTGGATCAGATATGATCTGGCTCAAATAATTTCAAGTAGTATATTGACTTAGATCCCTCAATATGTTCATGCTTGCATCTTACAGTATTGAGTTCCCCAACTAGAAGCCATAGGGGAGATAGGGAAAGAACCGTTGGATAATTTCTTGCCAATTTTTTTTTGTTAAATCTGGGAGAGTGCTCTCCATAAACAAAACTACAAAAGAAACTAACTCTGCTATCAGCAAGCAAAGAAATATGACAATTAATTACTTGGTCAGGTTTGCCACAATTCTTGTACAGAGAGACCAGAGGCATCCTAGCAAACCAAAATTCTTCACAGTATACCAACTATAGTTGTGCACTATGTCACAACTGTGTGCAGAACTCCTGAGAGTCTTCATATTATTACAGCTTACCTTTGTTTCAACTAGAGAGTGGACCATGTCGCAACGGTTCTATTGTGAGTTGGAGCTTGTGGGTCTGAAACGGGAAACAATCTCTTTGCCGCATGCGGTGTTAACGCTGCCTACATCACCCGACCCCGCACTGGCAGGAGACTTGTACACTGGGCCTCCTTTTTACCTATGTTTCAACTAGGCAGATTTTGAGACCTTATAATCTTCTTTATTCTCTGTTTGTACTTTGTTGGGGTTAGCGAGACCCCCAACAGTCCAACAACCCATTATCATCAGATAAAGGAGAATGAGCTAATATACTTATCTCCTTATTTGTTGAGGTGATTATCCAACACCTTTAGCGCACAACTACTTCAACTTATCTCCATTCTGCTGTATCTTGAGATCTCTCCTTATCATTTCTTGCTCTATCAACTTTAACCTAACAGGTCGTGGTTTATGCTATCGGTGCTGAATTTTGGTCATAATATAAACCAAGTAAAGTAGAAGTTCCAATGCATATGCAGTTTGCAGTTTTGCACGTCTGATTGTGTGACATTTACCGTAATATTGACCAAATTCAAATCCTGATTGACACTTAAATGAAAACCAGCCAGAACTTGTGCGTATCATTGCCTTGTGTGCTTGAATTCTATTTTATCTGCCGTACTAAATGTGTAGTTTGCATTTTGTTTAAATTTTAAATTGCCACTACCATAGGCCTTGTAGCCAAGTGGTTTCCAGAACCATCTTCCATGTTCGATGTGTGGATTCTAGCACCAAAAGATAGTTTATTGGGAAAAGATCAAATGATGTGTATGATGTTCTTTTATAGTATAAAAAGTTTGCTCGACAGAAAAATGTTACTGTATATAAAATTTTAAAAAAATTATATACAAAAAAATGTTGCTATATATAAAAAAATTTAAACTTTATTTTAGTGGTTGACATTTCTAACCAATAGTGGGAAATGAAAGGCAGCAATTTGCAGTTTCTTGTAATCTGCTGTCAACAACTATTTTGCTTTATTGGCTTGCTCCTAACAAATTTTCTCACATTTGGCCTCCAATTTAACTTCTTTTAATATTTTTAGCAATTTAAATGATGTTGAATAGAATCACTTGCTTTTATTGATTTAGAACTAATATCAGGAGTTTGGCTTTGCATATCACATGTACCTTCTAGAGTGCTACAAAGGATTTTTCAAACTCAGCCTTCTAAAATCTTTTGGAACCATGTAATGAAAGCTTGAATTTTTTTCTGAATTAGAATTGTTGTTGCTCCATCTCTGTGTAAGAGTATGGATATGCTTGTGTGTGCCTTCAAGAGTGGAATTTTGTGTTTTATGCTTATGAAATGCACTTGTTTACAATTTTATAAACTGTCCTTAACTTTTGTCAATCTTCTTCTCCTTTTTTTTTTTTTCGAATATTAGTTGTGGATTGGATCTTCCATACAATTTTATTTTATTTTTTCTGTTTTACTTGGGCTTTATTTTTATTTATTTATTTTTATTTTTTTCTACAGTATGGTTTGAGTGGTGGTAGTGATGCGAATAATAATTTACTGAACTAGAGCACATCACGCCAGATCTGAACACTGACGATCAGAGAAGGTCTTGCAGAAAAAAAAAAAAAAAAAAAAAAGAGACCCAGAGTATTCTTTTTGAATCTTTGTTGATGCGGGAGTATGCTTCCTTGCTCTTCAATCCTTCATCATCCATCTCTTTTGGGTAAGTTGTGTTGTACATAGAGGTCTGCAACATGTTTTTGTTTGAAAAAATGCCCTCCCCTGATAAAAGATTTGATGTGAATGACACATATTTGTAACATGATAAATTCGCGGTTTGTTCTTGATTAAACCTTTGTGCTCACTTCATGTTTCTCTCATGCCAGCACTGAGTGAACCCTGGAAAGTGATCTCTACTTATAAGGCAATTTTACATTCTCAGCTTTCTTGCCCTAAGAACCTTGTACATATATGCAGTTCGTGTTAAAATCCGAAAGGAGTAGAATTTGAATGGAGATTGAAGTTCGTTGCAAATTATTAACCACGGTTCCTATGCTTATTTTTTAAAGCCCTAGGATCAGATTGAAGCGAATGTGAGCATGCCTAAAGCAGCTAAATATGTTTTGCCAACTATTTGTTATTATAACATGATTCATGAACTTGTTGGAAGCTGAGGATTTGGGGGAAACCATAGAAGCAAAAAGAAATGCAATAAATTTCTCATGCTTTATTATTCATTTTACCATGAGCTTAACTTCAGTGATATGTTCTCTATTTTTTAAGTGCAAGGTTGAGAGTGTCCGTCATAAGTAGATGTGGATGTGTCTTTCTTAGTATTAGAAAATAATAACTAAAAGTAAATAAATAAAATTGTTCACTTCTTTTTTCTTTTTATGTTTGGAAAATATTTGTTCACCACTAATGTGGCAGAGTAATTGAATGACACGTGTCTATTTTAAGTTTAAAATAGGGTCAAGGAAAAAAAAGAAAAAAAAGAAAAAAAAAAAAAAAACCTACAATATACAAAATGTACAATTAACCCTTGTTGTTTCAATTTGTGCAAGCAAGGATGTTGAGTCAATTTAGCAATTGAAATGTCTAAAATACCCCCCACCCATATAAAAGAAATAAAATATAATAATAAATAATATTGTAATACCAAGGAGGATTAAATTGACTGCTCGGCGGGCAAGAAAGTTCTAACCAGCGAGGATGTGCTCGGCGCCTTGAAAGGAGGATTGCTCGGCAAGACTTTGACAGCGAGTAAGGATGTGCTCTACAAGACTTTTCTTACCGACGAGGAGCGGGTTTGACTTGAACTGTTGTGAAGCAAGGTTCTGAACGATGGTGAACAAGTATTGTACGGGGTCGGCGAGTGATTGAGCTTATCGGCGAGAATGCAAGGATGATCGGCGTGAATGAACTGGCGAGCAATAAAGACTGCGGTGCTCTGAACGGTGGTGAGCAAGGATTATGGCTTACTGACAATGAATGGCGAGCACGAGGAAGGCACGGTTGTTTTTACTGGCGAGTATAGAGAACTGCATGGCGAGGATGTACTCGATGACGATGACCAGAAAGACTTGTTGGATTTGGATGAAAGGAGCTCGTTGAAGGGTCAGTCGAGACTTACCGAACTAGATGAACGGAGCTTGATGCTGGCGAGTCTCACGTCGGATTTCATGGGAGTAGAATCTCTGGAATGGCAACGGGCAGAGTTGGGACGGGTTTAGGTAAACCCAACTCTGCCTCGTTAGAAAATCCGTCATAATAACTTCACCCTTACTCTTAGACAGGTTTGTAATTGGTATACTATCCCCATCCCTACTCCGGCAAGCAAAGTATCGACTTCGCCCCGGGTGAGCCTGGTTATGCCATTTTTATTATTTAATATAACAAACAAACTAACCCAATGTCCTCAAATTGGGCCAAAAAATAAGTTGACCTAACTTTTAAATTATTAAGTATTAAATATTAATATATTAACTAACACTTGTAGTAAAATAACATGGCTCTTAACAATATTAAATATTATATATATATATATATATATAATTTTTAAAGATACATATTATAATTAGGGCAGGGGCGGGCAGGATTTATCACTAAATCTACCTTTGCCCCAAACCCATTTAGGGGGCTACCAAATCTGTCTCATGGGCTGGAGGAAATTTTCATCCCTAAAAAGCTCAGCGCTCTCGCCGTTTTTCATGGATATCAAAACTCAGAGCTCGTCTACACAGGACGTCAATTTGGTCCTAGAAACTTCGCCCCTGAAATCGCTAAACTCTTGCTAATCTGATTGTGGATGCTTGAAGCTTCTTGATCGGTTTCACGCTGATGAAACTTTGCCGGTAAAGTCAGTTAATTTTATTTTATTTTATTTTTGTTTCCATTAGTTGGGAGGGTATTTTGGAATTTTTATAAATAAATAAATATATATATATATATATATATATATATATATATTGGTCAAAATTGATGATTATGGGACAATTTGCTCATAATATAAGGATTTATATACAATTTTTTTTTTTTTTTTTTTTTTTTTTTTTTTTTTTAATAGGTTTATTGCACTTTTGTTTTGTATATATATATATATATATATATATTTGCACTTAACCCTTTAAAATATGAAATAATATCTAGATTGTTAATGGCTCCTTGTTTTGATCTCTTTCGCGCGCAGACAAGCATCTGAAACCAACAAATTGAAATGATTTCATTCCCCTGTGAAAGACTGATCGACCCTTTTTTTCAAAGGCTATCTGTTCGTTCAAAAGCAGGCGGAAATTTCTCTCAAATTGAAATGATTTAGTTCACTTGTTCTCTCTCCCTCTATAAAACCACTAAAAACAAAATAGAAATGATTTCACTCTCGTGTGAAGACAGACTCTCTTCTACCTACACCTCTCTCTCTCTCTCTCTCTCTCTCTCTCTCTCTCTGCATATTTAGTGCCTGGTACACGGACCAAGTCACGAGCTCTCTTGGCTTTTCATGTGATCGAAATTATCACAGCCACACTTTTGGCTGGTAGTAGCAAAATTATTCCAAGTTAACTTTCACGTATGCAAGCTGGAGAGAGAGATTCTGTTCCCACTGAAAAAAAATACCTTTCGTTCTTTATGAGAACCCTTGTACCAAATCTCACACACACACACACACACACACACACACACACACGTTAGAATGGTTGTTTTGTATTAATTGCAAAAGCTTTTTGAGATAAGTTAGAAACTCCTGTTAATCAACATAGTGGCAGTATCCTATACTGACATTCTCCGATCTTCAATTCACATAAATGCAGTTGAATGTGTCAGATTTTTAGACAATGTATTACTTACATCTCAAAGAAAAACGATATTTTGTACCACTACATAGATTAGAAAAGCAAGTCGAAAGAAGTAAATGAAACAACAGTGTGATATATAAGGATGTTGGGACTGGTAAACTGGTGTTGGCTCAAGTGGGTAAGAACTTGACTTTTGTGCCTCATGAGGTATCAAGTCTAGTTCGAATCCTCTTGGCTGCAAACAATAAAAAATATTATACTGAATTTTCGTTATCTGGGCTGCCCCATAAATATCTTAAGTCTCAACTTTCTAAGGGTGTTGGAGAACATCACCATTTTTATTTTAAAAATTTTCCGAGTGAAGAAATTATTTGATTTAAGAAAGATAATTTGATATTTTGGAATGAGAATTTGGAAGACATTTTGTACTTGAACAATGGTTCTGCAAATATAATTATTTTACTAAAAAATATACTTTTAAAATAGACCACTTTGTTATTTATGACTCTTAACTCTATCCAAGTGTAATTTTTCCAAGAAAATATTCAACTCCAATGACCTTTGGTTTAACAAAAACCTCCTCCTCCTAGTGACAAACGAGAGAACGCATATTCAAGTTAAAAAACTACCATTTTGTTCAGAAGACATTGAAAGTCTTGAGTTCCAACATCCTGTGGTAAAACCAGATTAAGAAAGAATATACAAATCCATCCTCAATAACGCTAGTTGAAAAGGTTCGCCATTTTAGGAGCTGAAAAGGTTCGCCATTTTAGGAGGTTTTGCAACGCAACAGGCTACTTTATTTAATTTTATTTTTTATGTTGACGGGAGATGACATCAACCCCCTCACATAAGAATAAAGATCCTCTCCCTCGTTAGACCTCTCCTACACATAATTCAGTGCAGGAGAGATCCATTGCTGAAGAGGATCCTTGTCCCTCACATAAATGGGTTCCTATGTGTTGGACTTTCACACTTTCAGATGCCGTCACAATCATTCCCGCCCAAACTTATATATGAAAACCTTGGTAATGTTGGCCTAACTTACAATAAAAAAGTCACGAGGCACAACATAACTACATGATGAAAGTTATGACAGATGTACAAAAGAAAGTAAATCATTTTCACCCAATCTTGTCTTGGAATCAACATAACAAAGTTACCAGAATACCAAGCTCAACAAACATACCATAAGTATAACTTGCCAGACCTACAGAACAAGCCCATAATGAAAATAATGGAGGGATGCATGTTCACATATGTAAGTGTGCTGAGTACGACCGTGCGTGTGCTGTGTGTACTCAGTGCTGTTCAGTGTCGGATAAAGAAATGATAGATCTAGATATATTAAGAAATCCGGATATAAAACAAATACACATTCGCAACAATTTTAGGCACTAAACAATTATCAGTGGACGAGGGGACCATCGCCGTTTAAGATCATAGTAAAACAAAAATCATCGACTTAAATTAACCAAAAAAAAAAAATGATATATATAAAGGCCTTGTCATAACCGACCTGTAAATTCGATCACAGCCTCATGGACAAGCTCTTCCAGCAGCTTCCCTCCTATTTCATTCTCTACATTACCCATTTCCAATCTCATATGCTCAGCCCAACCCTTCCCCATTACCTCCTTACTCACCAACATCTCCGCCACCAGGCTGTTGCTGTCCCCATAATCACCGGAAACACAACTAGCCTCCCTGGAAAACCAAGTTTTCAACTGGGCCCACACCAGGTCCACCATTGTGGGTGGTGATGCATCGTCTGATTGCCTGTTGTGGACCCTACCATATGGCATAGCAGCTCTTAGGCTTGTTTCTGACCCATACCCTGTGATGTCCGCAAGTGCTTCATTGACACAGTCGAATACAAGATTCCTTGTTGATCTCCATTGCCTTCGCTTGGCCTCGTGCATTGTCTCTATTTCATGCAGATCAACATATTTGTCTCTCAATAATAGGTCCAGTGGGCTTTCCGGGGAATGCCATCTAAAAAATGACGACTCATTTTGCACATCACCATCAAGGCCAGCTGCTGATAATAATGTTTGTACAAAGAAGAGCAACTCCTGTTCGTCTTCCTCGACTCCTTGGGAGGCCAGGGAGGATTTCAACGGGTATGAAGTGGTTGTATCCACACAGGAATTATCCCACGATAGAGTCCGAGCAATTGATTCTATGGGTGGTGATTTATCGATTAGGTTGGATTTGGCAGGGTTACCAAGCAGCTTAGCTCCTGTTTTAGTTGAAGGTGATCAATTAGAAAGGCAGTTAAGAATACTTCAGGGAAGTGTGAGATTTTCATCATAAATATTAACAGAATTTACCCTGTTGGTCAGACTTAATATTGCATGAGGACGCCAGTGTTGTATTGTCATCCTCTTCGGATGGAGGCTCCAAGACTGAGTTTGGACTTGGCTGGTCCTGGTTCTCAGCAACGGGCTTTGTTACAAGCAATCCTGCCTGCAAAAATGGAGATAACTTGATCGTCATGGGCTTATAAAATTTCAGCAATCAAGACGGCTATAGATTCATGCAAGCCACAATTACACTATAAGCTAAATAATTGAATATTCACGGTTTTATCACCCAGTCATAAGGGATGACAAAGAATTCCTGCCATACTAAAAGCAACATAAATCGACCTAAAAAAAACTTTAACTTCTTCATGGCCGGTAACTCTTGACTGATGCAAGTTTATACATTGCGTATAAGGATAATCCCAGTTTATTTACATTATATATACATAAATATATATATACTCTTGCCATATCAGTGTGGCCAATATAAGTTATTTTACAATGTTTTAAACATGTCCACCGTGGTCATAATTTATTTTGCCGATAGTCATTGCACTACCACAGTGTTATGCCTTTGTCGCGCATATTCAATAGAACTGCAAATTGAGAGAAGAATAATTTATCGGAACGGAGTTGTGCAGGCAAAGGAGTGGAGAAGTTCAAGCAGTGATTTTGTCTTGCATAAAAATTGCAAAGAAAGAGAGCAAAGTTTACAAATCATAACAGAAGTTAATAATTACAAAAAATATATATATATAATATATAAATAGGGTAAACATATATCACAAATATTAACTCTTATAGCCAAAAAATAAAAGGACATAAATAACAAAATGAATGCAAATTACTGGATAAATTCCCTTGTCAAAACAAATAATTAGTAATAAGTCACTAGATAAATGCAAACATGCAAGACAACCAAAAGAAGATTCACATTACCTCATTAGAAATTATGCCCTGTTTCGATCCCATGCCAATTAAATCAGATGACATTTTGCTTAACGATCCCTGTAAACCAGGCGAGAAACCCCCTTCAAGCCCACTATCATTAACAAATTGGGATATGTCACTGCAAAGTTTTCCAGCAGAATGTACAGGCATTCCAGTAGATTTTTTAGATTCATCTCTGAATTGAAACGCACTAGATTTTTCTTTACTAGACTTTTTAATCCTTGAGAAAAATAAACTAGAAACTTTCCCTTTGAATGATGATTTCACACTCCTATCCTTCCTCACTTCCTTGGCATCATCTGTTCTATCAACTACCAAATCTGAAACTTCAACATTGACCCTGGTCTCATATACTGTGGAAGATACGGGAACAGATTTCGACCTCAAAAGATTCCTAGGAGAAATATCCACTCTTTCATCCTTATTCAAAGGAGTAGTCGAGCACGAAGTTGATCCCCTTGGTTCTTGTTCGTTATTACTATCCTCTTCCTCAGATCTCACCAACTTTTTTGCATCAGAAAGGGCAAGCATCTCGCCCAAAGTACTAGAGCTTCTACGGACATGTCTTTGTTCTTGACAATTCCCATTAGATGCCATCATGGCCCATCTTTCAGATAGTCGCTTCTTTGCCTCTCTGCAAACTGATGACTCGGGAGAAAACGATGCACGGCTAAAGGAGCATGAAGAATATGGGCTACCACACCTATTGATGTAATCCCATGAATGCCTAGAAGTTGGTGACATGACTTCCGAATCACTAAGATTCCCCACTGCATATTCATTTTCTGATTTATCAAATGAACTTTCATCACCAATATAGCCATTGGAGAATACCGAAGAAAGCAAGGTTTCATCCCTCCGGAGCCCACTCAAGTTTTCACGCATATGCCGTGTGATCTCCTTTGCCATTTCTCTAGATTCTCGTGCTTCTTCATCTTCTGGTTTCCCATAAAATTCTTCAGCATTTAGTATTCTCGGTGATGAGGATGGTGGAGAAAGTACAGCCTTAATATCATGAGGCTTCCCAGGGCTAGGTTTCAGTACAACTATTCGAGTTGGTTGAGTAGGATTATCATCAATCCTCCCATTAGCAGGAGAAAGTCCAGGATTGCTTTCATCCCATCCAATAACATCACCCGCGTGGGATACTTTCTTTATCTGTTCTTCATTGCTCTTCCCTGATCCAGTAAATTTGTTAATATCCAGCATCTTAGAAGGTTTAAGAACAGTGATGCGCTTTGTCTCAGGAGGTGGATGAATAGACTGCAAATCATAAAGATGTTGAGAAAACAGGGAATTTGGTTCTTGCAGAAACTTGAGGAATAAATCTTCGTTGGAACTTAAGACTTCCACAGCATCTTGAAATTGCTTGGACTGCCTAAGTTTTTCATCTGTGGCCAGACGTTTTGCTTCAATGAACTTCTGGCGAACGAGAGCCATCTTTTTCTTATTTGTAGTTTCATTATTCCTTCCCTTCTGTGGTGATTTCTCTCGTACATAATTTGCTTTCTGTGATTGCTGCCATACTTCATAAACATCCTTATATTCATTCTTCTCTGAACACCAGTTATCGTCACGCATTTCTGTGTCCAAGAACTCATGATCTTGCTGCCAATAACCCACGGGTGCGCCCGAATTACTTCGTGAATATCCTCTTGAATTACTTCTTAGCAAAGGTGAATTAGGTTGTTGGGGGAGGGCGTCAAGCCCCATCAACTTGGCAACTACACTGGGTGGATTATGCTTGGTCTCCATTTCTTTTGACATTTCTTGGGCAATTAGCATCTTTATGGGTGTTCCATTTGATTTTCTATTTGAAGTTCTCCTTAGCTCAGACACTATCTGCATACCTCACACAAACACAATAAAATATCAGATTACTGTGACAATATCATAAGTCATCACTCAGTATCAAAGACTCATTCTACACAGAATTTGGTTGGTCATGGACCACAATTACAATTACTAAGGAATACGAGTAAAAATATACCACTTTATCCTCTATCTGACCACCAACTGAACTCATCCTTTCCACATATGATTGGCTTCTTGAAAGTGGGACACCTGTAATCAATTCAATGTCAACAATCAGGCTAATTATTTAATTTGAGAATGCAAAATTACATATACCAGAAGAGAAGTACTGACAATGTTTCAACAAGTAAAAATAACTAAATCCATTTTAAAAGGAAAGGGAGGAATGTTTTTATTGATCTAGCATTGCTATTATTGTCTTTAAAGAACCTCTCATAGATACCATGTTTTGTCTTTACTGTAGGCAAGGAGGATCCAAAGTCAGAATCACGCACAAATACATAGCAAATGAAAGAGGGGTGGGTGTGGGGGTGTGTGTGTGTGTGTGAGAGAGAGAGAGAGAGAGAGAGAGAGATGGATGTAGATGCTTATTCATAAAGGCAGTCAACATCAACCAGAATGAATTTAAACTCCAAAATTCCAAATGGGCAGAGCAAAAGGATGGAACAAACAAATGACCAATAGTGAACCAAATTTTCACTAGTCTACTGCCAAGTTTTGACATATTGAAGAATAAAACAAGTTCGATGACACTCTCTCTTTTTGTCACTTTTTCCAAATGATATGTTAGTCATTTAAAACTCATCTAAATATTTAACTATTTATAGCTCAAAACTTGAAATACCAACTATAATGTGCAAACAGTAGTCCTCTTCGATGTGTAATGAGATGACTATCAGAACAATTAACCATTGTTCAGAAGGAAAGTTCCCTAATTTCTTATAAGTAAATGATTGTGTCCTCTCAATCTTTAAGATTTGACAAGTGCTAGCAGAAACAAGACCTATCAACAGATAATAATTAATTTTTTTTGGCATTTGCTATGCAAAGCTAAGAGATACATATCATAGAAATGGAAAGATATGATACAAAAGTATAACAAAAGAGAAGATTAACAAAGGAAATCACCATCACAATCACGATGTGGTTTATCTGTGAGCAGCCTATTTCCTGCCACCCCAGCACCAAAATCAAAAAGGTTCACCATTCTTCCCAAACATCCAGGAAAGGGTTTCTCGAGATTCCTGGTTTTGCCATTCTGAATCCCATTCATTTCAACACCTGATATGACACATTGCAAAATGTTAATGCCATTTACCATATCAACCAATTAACTTTCAGGGAAAACATTATCAACAACAGACTTGTATGTTTAGTGGCACCTATGGTGCCTGTTCTTTTGTTGTTGAGGGTTCACTCCCCTTTTTTTTGCTGAGCATTTTGATTTTAATGAAAGTCCTTAATTACTTATAAAAAATAAATTTTTAAAAAAAATAAATTTATCAACAACAGCAAAATTAACCAAAAACCCCCTTACTTACGAGAAATTATTCATTGCAACCATTGCAACGATGACGGGGTGCAACGGACTGCTACAAACACTCCACCAAAACACGTATATCAGCTTTTTGGTTCTATTATACGTCCACTTTGCTTTGGTGGAGTGTTTGTAACCGTTCGTTGCACCACGTCACAGTTGCAGTGGGAGAGGGGGTATCAAAAAAACTGGTCAGTTTTTGTCTAAATAGAGATAATAATTTACCAATATATCAGAAAAAATAAAAATATAATTTAATGTTTGCATAACGAATACACAAATATATAGATGTGTGTGTGTGTCATATGAAAAACTATAAGGAATGATAAGTTGAAATAAATGTGTTAATGTAAGTATATGACATTGTCAAATGTTCTGCCTTTTGATGACGGAGCCAGAAATTTTTTTCAGGGGCACATTGTACACTAAATACATATTTACATAATAATGTATATACATATAAAATTAGTGTTTATGGATTATATAGAGAGAGAGATTGAGATTTTTGGGATGAGGTAAATTAATAAATTACATATATAGAATATAATGAAACAATTTAAGAAAAAAAATTTAAGGAAACATATATAGTATACAAGGGAAGGAGGAATTTCAATGCTGCCTCCGTCCCTTCAGATCATGCACAGACAAGACTCGATTCAAATTCACCATAAAAAAAGAACTTCAAGCTTCAAGTTACAACCTCAAATCCAGGGCTTAAATTCGGAGATAGAGATAGATACCAATAACTGGTATATTGCATGAATTTGACAGGCAATCAAATAATATATGAACCGAGAGACAAGCTACTATGTGCTGTGTGAAAATCCGGCATATTTACATGAAAATTCACATCAAGCGACCATAATAAGCTAAATAAACTCTAATAGAAAACACTTGCCAAATGATCAAATAACCCACATTTATTCAAATTGGAACCAACATGTTAAAATCACAAACAGAAGCTTAGAAAAAGCCCTAATTTCTGAAACAGTCACCTCAAGACAAAAGTATTCAAGTCCAAAAAAACAACAGGAAAATAAAATAAATAAATAATATAAATATCAATCCAAATAAATCATCCATTGAGAAAGTAAATTAAGACAAAATCTAAAGTAAAAAATACACCTTTTTTTTTTTTGGGATAAAAAAGTGAAGATTCACACTTAGTGAGTAAATTAGGTCAAAATTAAAGTAAATAACAGAAAATAAAATAAAATCATTTTCTTTAAGGCTGCAATTGCATCCAAATCAAGAGAGAGAAAGTCGACAGTACAGAGAGAGAATCAATTGGATTACCTTCGAAACGCGCGAACGAATCAGAGATCAAAAAGGCGATACCGAAAAGTAACGGCGTACACTAACACAGCCGTAGAGTCAGAAAAATGCAAACTGCTGACATGGCAAGCCAGAGATTTCACGGAGAGCGAGAGCTTAGAATCGAAGTACAGAGCTTGAGAGGAAGGAGGTTGCGACCTTGTCTGAAGCTGCAGTGTCGCCGGAATCTTACATTCCGGTGGGAATGTGGCCGGATATTCGCCGTATTACGGGTCTCCCAAAAGAGCTCAGATGAGGTTCTCAGCACCGACTCAGTCGGACTTGAATCGCTTTTGTTTATTCTGATTCATTCATGAGTTTCGATTACGAGAGAGAGAGAAAGAGGGGAGAGAGTGAAAAATAAAATAACAGAAGAACAAAATGTTGGAGTTAGTATATAGTAGTAGTCCTAATATATTTAATTATTATATTTTGCTATATGGTCCCTATATTTAAAAATATTTTTATTTAGGCCCAATAACTTTTAGGTTAGGACTTATTTGCCCATGGTATTTAAGATTTGAGATTGCCGGCATGCCCATTTCTTGCACTTGTGTGAATCTCTGTCACAGTGTCACCATTTTAAAATGATATCATTCTGACACCTTTCTAATTATAGTGCTTAAGTTTTGCAATTATATATATATATAATTAATGTATTATTAACATATTACATCTCCATATCATCCTAAGATTACAAGATTTTTGTATTTAGCTTTACCTTATTTACGTGGAGCGTCTTATACGAGTGCTTTGGATTAATCGGGACAAAACCCTATAACCCCAAACATTCATCTATTATCGAAAAATATATATATACTAAATATTTCATGTGAGGAAAAAGAATCATTGTGAGCATTTGATATAATGTGTATATATGTTCTATATGTATCTTTGGTTCCATTTTTTGCAAGTACAACTTAATTTGGTTGCACTTAAGATGAAATTTTGGAAACAATTCTTCGTATACGCACTTGTAATTACATCTAATATAGATACACTTTGGGACATAACCATAAATTAAATATAGGGGGCACAGTGTAAAAAATAATAATAAATATGACAATATATATATATATATATATTCTTCGAATCAAGTCGCAAAGAAAAAAAATTATTGCAAAATAATATATGTCAATCACTGAATAGTCTAAGAAAGATAAATAAGAAAAAATTTAAGGGATAATTTTAGAAAATAAAAAATTTAGGGAGGCATTATATGAATTTTACATGAAATTTCAGAAGATATAGGAGGAATGAATGATGAGAAAGGTTTATGTATAAAGTTTTAATGGTGAAATGTGTTTGGCTGAATAAAGAGGGGGAGGGGGGTTAAAAAAAATTATCAAGTTACCTCTATATACTGGTCACCTTGGTTGTGAAATAACAAAGTTGACCTTGTTATTAAATATTAAATTAAAATGCTGAAAACTATTATTTCAAAATTACAACAATAATAAAGGACCATTAAATAATGTTAAAATACAAAATTGTTTAAAATTACAAAATTATTATTTAATCTTAAATTACAAAATTGACATTGTTATTTTAATATTACAAAAATAATTTTAAAAAATTATTATTAGCATTTTAATTTAACATTAAATAGTAAGTTCAATTTTGTCATTTCACTGCCAAGTTAATAGGTTGGTTAAGAATATACGGGAGAACTTTATAACTTTTTACTTTTTATAGTTTATGAATTTTTTTTTAATTCCACTCGAAATTCTTATGCACAATTTTAAAAGTACACAACTTTTGTAATTTTAACTTTTAAAAAAAAAATTAAAAAAGTGAATATGGTGTGAAGAGGGAAGAGAAATGAGATATTTCCCTCCTATTTTTGTGATAGGTAAAGGAAGTGATTAATGTGTTTGTCTTTACTGGTGTACTTCCCTCCCGCTCTCTTTTGCTTTCCTTACCGTTGCTTTCCTTTCTTCAATTTTTCGTCTGCGTTTTTTTGGTCTCATGAAAGCGACATATTCTACTTTCAGGTGGATATGGCAAATAATAGAGCAAAAGTGTGAGGGCTTTATAGGAAAAAGAAAATAGAAAAGTGTTTATATACCACACGTACAAGAAATATATACAGTATAATTTTTCTAATAATAAAAGACAATTCAATTATGAAAGTAGCTTGCCTATGATTAGCTTAATAATGACTAATGGGGTTTTGGTTCGCTTACTTTACTAAACAACCCGTCATCAACGGTGAGAAAATTTTAGGAATGTGTATTGCCATAAACCTCCCTCCTCTTTGATATAATTACAAAAATGGCATTCTCTTCTCTATTTGTTTTTATTTAAAAAATTAAAAACCCTTTTAACCTGGTGACCTTTCGAGAGACACGAAAAACCTTTTTAATTTTGTTTACTATTTAAATCAATTTGTATATCATGATAGTTAAATTCAGAAGGTTCGAGTTTATCTCTCATTCCAAGACATTCTTTATTCTTGTAAAAGTTTCTTTATTCTTTCATAATATACTTGTTTTTTTTTTTTATCAAAACTTACTCTTAATATTAATATTTGAGTAGTGATACTTAGACCAAAGAGGTTATTTATGCAAAATACAAACAAGTGTAGGGTTTCACTTTCTTATTTTTTAGATAAATGACTAATTAAAAAATTAGGTTTGACAATTCATTACGATTACTCCATGTAAAAATTATTTTTCTTAATATTTTTTATTCATTTATCACTAAATAGACATGATTTTTTTTAAAAATTACATAGAATGTTTTCACTGGAGTATAAAATATATGTTTACAAACAATATGAGCATAACAAATGGACCCTAACCCTACAGGTATAAGCTCGCCTCTCTTTTGAGGAGGATGTACAATCTAACTTTAGGTAGAACAAAAATATATAATAGATGTGTATTTGTTCAAACTTTTATATATATATATATATATATATATATATATATATATATTATGATTCGTAGTCGCAGTATCAATTTTAATAGTGACGTAATGATTTCGAAGGAATATTAGTGTAAACTGATTAGTTCATAAAAGTATGTAACGATATCGAATTCTTAAAAAATAATTATGAACCGATTGATACCTGACGTCAGGTATCGACCAACATGACGAATTATGATATGTATATACATGGACTAGGTTCTCCCATTTGAACGTATGCCACTTATGCATTAATGAACTAATAACTCCGGCCAAAAAGAAATAATAATAAACTAATAACTAAATATTGTTTGAAATTCGTTTAATAAATGAAGTGAGGCTCGACTCATTTAGTTTGCAACCAAACATTAAATTATACCACTCCTACCATATTTGAGCACATCATTCACAACCACACGTATTTTTTTTTTTTTTAGCAACAAGTGGGCAACAAGTGGGAGTGCTTGACCTTGTTATATAAATTAGCATTTTTGGCAGTTTGGTAGCACAACGGGACCCACAACCAACAACTATGGTCTTTATAGAATAAGATTTTTATGCCCAAAAGTAAATACAAAGTGACATGTCGGGTTTCGATTTTTGTATTTTCATTTACTTTTTATTACAAGACAAGTAATGTTTGTTTCACCCCAACATTAGCCTACTTTTGTTTCAATTTAAAGATGGGAAATCTAATCTATGTCCCAGCCTCTTGTGTCTTGTAAACTTAAATTATTGAATGATATATGTGTGTGTGTGTGTATATATATATACATATATATTTATTTATATATAAAAACCTGAATTAAGCTTTAATCAAATAGTCATAAGTCCAGACATTAGTCAGTGTCCTAGAATGCACACCTCCGTGAACGAATTTACTAATTTATACATATAATTTTTTATCTAATTTTTGCTCTTTGTTCTTGTGCTATTTTACTTTACCAATTTTAGTCTCTTTAATTGCTTTTTTTTTTTTCAAAAAAAAAAAAAAATTTGTATATTTTGTAAGTAGAAATAACAATCAATTCTAATTTATCAAAGAGCCTCTAGCCCAATATTGTAATCTTGGCTAGTCAAAAGGTTGCCATGTGGATAATGATTGTATATTTGCTTTAATTTTGAAAAAAAGAAAAAAATCAATTGTAAAGATAATAAGTGTTTATATATATATATATATATATATATATATATATATATATATATATCTTACATTGCTCTTTGTAAAATGTATATCCGATCTTACAATTAAAATGAAAACACAGCAAAATTAGTTTATGTTGCGGGTGTGTCAAAGATAAAAAAATTTTAAAAAAAATTGGTGCACTAATTATAAGGATAAAAAATTTCGACAATACACTAGCAATTGATATGTTCAGTTCAAAATTTTATTTTAAAAAACACTAAAAAAAAAAAAAAAGAAGAATTCAAAAAATAAACTTAGTTTAGAAAAGCTAGAATTCAAAAGTTTGTGTAATAAATCTCTTAACTTTTTTTTCTTTATATATTTGAAACTTTTGGAGACTCTTTTAGAAAATCCTAAACCAAACAAGTCCATTAAATCCCTCTTAAACGCCCTACCAATTTTGAATTTAAAGTAGTAGGGACAATATGGTAAAAAGAGGAGTTGAATAAAAGTGATGGTGATTGGAGATGTAGTGGGCGCGTGGTGTCACGGACGAGAAGATTCATTTGGAGCGTGAACAAATGAATGGAGAGGTTCCGGTAACCGACAGTTGACGACGAGCTGAGAGTGTGGGGACCACAAGAGAAGAGTAGGTGGTAAAAATCAGGAGTGGGCCCAACATTCTTTATCCTTATTCTCCACACAAACTGCTCACGTTAGCATACCGTGTGTTGTTTCTTTCAGCTTGATAAATTGTTAACAGATACAAAATAATAATAATAATAATAATAAATAATAAATAAAAACTATTTGATATTTAATTTATGTAACAAATAAAAAAGTGTGGTGTATAAATAACTAATCAGAAACTATTTTAACAAGTTGCTACAAAAATCACTATTTTTTTCATAAATTAATCTCTCAATTTTCCAAACAAAAACTTCTTTGAAATTCAATTTTCTAACCCTATCCAGAGTTTCCATTTCTAATATAAAATTAGTTATTTTGATAGGCATTGAAGATTGCTATACAGATTCAAATAAAAATAACTAATTATTACTGTATGTTTAAATAATAATAAAATTGGGAGGACAAATTTTTTTTTTCTTTTTTCAGAAAGAATATGAGCTCATTTTTTATATATTTCAATATATAATTAAATATAGGTCATCTATCTAATTAAATATTTTCCTATTGTTTAATTTGTTTTCATTTGAGAAGTATTTAAAATTTTATACATATTGTTTAAAGATGAAAGTCAGAACCAAAACATTTAATAATAGAGATAAATAAAAATAAGCAATATAAAAATTAAATAAATTTTCATCAGCATTTTCATTGTGTTACACACGACTTTTATGAAAATTAATTCTCATAATACTTTTACAAAATCTTTTTTTTATAAAAATTAAATTAGTATATGCAGAGGATTAAAATCTGACACTCTAATATTTTCATAAGACACTAATCCACTAAACTTTTCAAATTTCATTAAATTAAATGTTACACAAAAATAAATAAATAAATAAATTGAAAGAAATATTTATTAGTAGTGTCCACAGTCGAGCAAACCCCCACCACTACATCCATTCACATAGATGAGAATCCAAACCTTATCCTAAAGGCTGAATATGGGCAGTAGTAGCACAGGAATGAGATGAGAATATAATCTTCTCATTCACCTAATATATATATATATATATATATATATATAGAATCTTTTTCATTGGATCTTTACTCATAAACATCCAAGTAGCCTAGTCCAGGAATACACACTCCATGAAGAATAGAAATAATTTATAATGCCTCCATTAATTTATTTTTGGTTATCAATCCTTTTGTCACATTTTGACTTTTCATACAAGTCACATAAACACAACCATGCACGAATAATTTAAATCCACATATAAAAATCCTTTGCAATATTTTATATACATGCATTACTATTGTAAAGTCAAAAGTGACACACTTTAGATGGATATATGTGTTCACTTTTAGAGCTTTGAAGAGTTCAACACATTTTTAATATATATATGAATCCCACAGACATTGGCAATAGCAATCAAACAAATTATTGAGCCACATAATATAACAAATTCCAATATTTTCATATCAATGCATCAACACATACATACATTCATATTTAAAAACATGTATTGTGGGATCGATACACGTGCTATAAAAATAAATAAATAAATAAAAACTTCAAACTACATATAATCCAAAATTTGTTTAACAAATTGCACTTAAACCCCCACCCCCAAAACAATAAATAAATTAATAAAAAATAAATAAATAAAACTATAGACACAATAATTCATTTGATATTTGTTTATATTACATTTATCAAAGTATAAACTTAACTCTCAGATCTATCCCCCTACATGTTGTTCTCTTAAACACATTAACACTACTTCTACACAGAACTATTAGCCTAACACCAGAAACCTTTGCCTCTAAAAAAACCCTCTAAATTACAATAATTCTAAAAATCTATGTTACATGGACCATTCAAAAGTAGTGAAGTATCATGTCGGACACATATTGCTCGCACATGAATATCGCCGTAACGGACATGTGTCCAACACTTTCGGTTGGACATATACCTAAAAACATACCCAATCATTCAATTATATTGTATTACTACTTTAAAACGAGTTAAAAGCCTATATTGAACACTATATTAAATAAAAACATTACTGTGTCCACCATGTCCTTTGCTTTAGAGATTTGACACGTTCGATACATGAATACATACCCGTACCCGACACACATACCAGGGTCCATGTAACATAGTGTAAAATCAAAATTAGAGATATTAGAATCATAATGAGCTATAAAGGTCAGGACAAGTGAAATGAAAAAACAGGTGGAGTTGTTCAGCAACAGGTAACATGCAATGGTTGTTTGATGTCTAGGCAGTTTTGAGATAAATCTAACAGCAAACAATAAAGGGACATTGCATCCAACTTATATAGAAAAAAGACTACTCAGTATCCAAAAGTGCCTTTTACACATGCATATAAAAAACTAAAGAAGACATGGTAATAGTACTGTGTGATAACAAAAAAAAAATTTCCAAAAACAGCATGCACAAGATCAACTTATAGCAAATCAATGTTAAAAAGCAAGTTTAAATATCTTCTCTTAGATTGTTGGATATTAGGGTTAGGAATTGCACTTGAAGATCAGGACTATAAAGGAAAGAAACACCAAGACAGAAACACCAACTGCTGATTATTCACTTCTGCCAAGCAAACACAGCACCAAAAATAATGAGCCACACAAGATGTCAGTTAAAAACCTAATTATTCCACATCAATCATCGCAATGCATAAGAAAATTTTGATTGATCAAACATAATTCACGACATTGAACAATGCAACTAACAAAGAAGAATCATTTACCATCAAGTGCTATCCATTCAGAAGTGACCTCAATCAATGCACAAACAAGGACCCATGAAATATAATGGGAACCATCAAATGTATTTGCTTTCATCATGATCATCATACAATTCTTCTTCAGATCTAAGCCAGCTTGAATTACCGAGCTGCAAGGGAGAAGAAGCCATCTCTTTGCTGAGAGATATCTGGAAATTTATGGAGGGCCAGTTATGACTTTTTAGTGTATCTTTGGCAAAATGAGCAATGGTGCTATACGGACGAATTTCTTGCTCCTCTTCTGTAAGGAGATATGAACACTTGCCCTCCTTTTGGGGAGATTGAAAAGTGTGACAAGTAGACAAGTAATGCTCTCTAAAGGAATCAGTCTCTGGAAAGCACTTCCATTCTAAATCAAGATCTAGTCCAGAGGAAAGGAGAGCTTCCATACCACTGAGATGCTTCTCACTCAAAACCTTGCCTATGAACCATTGGTAATTTTGAGGAGAGAGGAACATACTTCCAGCTTCGCATGTATTGTCATTATTGCAACCCTCCACCAGATTAAGACATTTTGGAATAGGAGATAAGGTTTGAGGGAAAGGGTTAAGTTTTGCAACTAAATACTTCTCGTCTTCAAGGAGTCTTCTGAAATCATGAGCATGAAAATCAGCTAAACGGAAATGTGGTAATGAAGTAAATTTGTGAGGATAATTGGAAAAGAATGATGTCGGGTACAGCTCAGTTGCATCAAATCCATTATCCACACTCTCCTGGTCATCGCCCCATGAAGTTGCTAATGTAGAATGCAGGTTCATCTCTGCATTATGAGCAGTAACAGATAAGTCTCCTCCATCTCTCATGTTGTCCGAATCCCAACCCAGCAAAAGAGCATGTGTCTCTCTTCCACATGCAGATTCATTTGGATCTTGAAATTCATCCAGTTGATTGAGATGATTTGATGCCATGGATCCATGATTTTCAAAACGAGATTGAACATATGAATCACTATCAGTGAGCAAACTTGCACTTCTTCCACTGTCAAAACCACTAGCAGGTTTCTTATTTCCGTACAGAAGATGAGTTCTGGTAGCATAGCTGGTAGAAGGAGAATCAGACACTAAAGTATTCGATCCCGAGAGGATTATTTCTCCCGATCCGTTAGACCAGCATTCAGAAGAAAATTCACTTGAGTCTGGGCCAAGTATGGACTCCATAAAGTCTCTTCTATGAGTCCAATTCAGTTCCTTAACATAGGTATCTGACTCAGGATAAGCAAGAGACAAGCCCTGTCCGTCTTTTACGTTTTCAGAATCCCAGCCCAGTAAAAGAGCACGTGGCTCTCTTCCAAGTGCAGATTCATTTACATCTTGAAATTTATCTAGCTCTTTGAGATGACTTGATACTAAGGATCTGTGATTCTGAAAACAGAAATGAACATATGGATCATTCTGATTGATCAAATTTCCAGTTCTTCCACCGTCGTAATCACATCCGGATTTCCTATTTTTGTACTGAACTTGAGTTTCGGGAGAGTCAGAACCTACAGTGTTCCATCTAGAGAAAATTCCATCTCTTGATCCATTAGACCAACATTCAGCAGAAAAATCATTACAGTGTGGCCCATGTTTGGGCATCATAAAGCCTCTTTCATGATTCCAAGTAAGTTCTTTGTCATCTGACTCAGGAAAAGCAAGTAACTTATTTTTTGTTCCAGTTTCGGTTTGCCTTGGCTTTGAATCCCTAAAATACTGGCAAAGGAAATTTCAGCCTTAAAAACAAGTGCAGAATAATATGTTCCACATCCATGTATTAATGCCAAAAGATCATACATTGTTTTCATTGCCGTTGGGAAACAGCCGACTAAGGAGAACAGAAACCAAATCACACCTGAGAAAATCTTAATTGATTCAATAATAAAATTTAGTAAGGAAATGAAATAACTAACAGACTGAGGTGTCTAACCCCTTGGCGGAGAGCTTGTCAACTTCAGGTAATGAGGTCTCTGCAACCCACTGAAGTAATCTCTCTCTCCTTTTAGAAAAGATTTCTTCAACTGAGTACTGGGTTTCTAAAATTAAAAGGAGACTTTAGTTGTCGTCCACCAAATAATGCTCTAATTTTCTCAAAACAAAGTAATGGGACATTGCATGAATTCATTGATGCTACAATGTGTTTGATTCCAAAGTTCCACATTTCAAGAATTAGGAATAGAACACAATTTTCAATTACTGTAATATCAAATTTGAAAAAAAGGAACTGCTGCTCTGATAGCAGACAGTGATGATGAAGAAAATCTGGACATTTTACAGCGAGATCAGGAAAATAATAAAATAAAATAAAAGGGGAAGTTTCCATATCCGTACTTTTCCTTCATCGTCCTGGCAACAAGGAACATAGTTCAATATCACTCGGTTTTTATGAAAATATAATCCTAGGTTTCAAAGTGACACAATTGTGTATAAAAATTGTACTACTCTAGATCCTCCACCAACTGGAAAAATTGCTGCGAATTATCTGAAGGGGTAACAAGTGCTGTTTAATGAGAGATGAAGATTTATTTCATATTTGGTTAATTAATTGGAAATTCTGACTACTTTACAGGAATGTTAGGGAATGATTGTTTTTACATCCATAGTTTATACTATTAGACTGACTTGAGCAACTCCTATTCTTAGTTCATGACATACAAATACAGCCATGTCGACTAAACAGGTAATAGAACAACATGATACATCAACAAGCGTACATGATAAGTTGACAGTTAAAATCATACTTGATAGAATATTTGGGACTGTGGATCATCTACTTCAGTGCCGATAATAATCTTAAACTTTTCTTAAAAGATTACATCAAATTTTCTAACTATTTCTAAAGTTCCAAGTATGTACATCTTCTAGAGTCCATATTAGCTGATACAAACATGTCTATGCTATTTCAACCTTACAAGTATACTTTTTCGCTAGTGCTTTATTTATATTTTTTGCTAGTATATTTTACTCTTATTTTAAATATTACAGAACCTCTGTTTTAGTCATCATCATCCAACTATTTTTCCCAAAAAAAAGAAAGAAAAAAAAGTCATCAACATCCAAATCCAACCCCGGTCCAAGAGTTTCAGCCTTTCTTGTGTGGCTGCACTAGCTCTTTTGATTCATTTACTTGTTTAAATGAGCAACAACAAGAAATATAAATGCTCAAGGAAACAACTCAAATATCAGACTGAGACAGAGAGGGTGAAGAAGAAAATAAGAACAGAAAAGATAGATTGGTTGGGTCATTCAGTCACTATTCATTCCATCCCAGCATAGGGTGGATAGGGAGTTGTATAGGGCATAGGAATCATAGACGAATTGGGACACGGGTGAGGGTGAATTGGATATCATGTAAGAGCTGCAGATCCTATTCCACTCGGATTGATTAAAGCACCATTTTTGAATTCGAAATACGGGGGCAACTCTGATCCTTTTTCTCTCATTCCCCCTCAGGCAAGGTTCTAGGAAATCCGAATTCTTTAGGGACACCAGTTAATAACATAAGCTAAAGAGAGGAAAAGAAACATAAGTGCTCTTAACCGAAAAAAAATTGCCAAAGAGGATTTGTCGTATAAACGAGACTTTGGAGGTACAATAATATTTTCTCTCCCCTTTTTCTTTTCTTTTGGGTGCAGACAAGAACATCAGCTATTAGCTTTGAAGGAAACAAAGCAGGGCCTGCAACCGGAATGTTTTGCAGGTGGCCCATAAGTGATGTTGGATATCCCCTTTGGGAAGAGATACCAAAAAAAGTTCAGATGAAAATAGATTTTAATATATATCTATACTACTATTAAAAGTGTGTACATTTTTTAATTTTTTATATACATTTTTTAGGCATTTTTTTTTTAATCATTTTTATGGTTTTTGATTCAAGAAGTTGGATAGCACAACCATTTCAATGAGTAATAAATATGTTATCATAAGAGATTAGCGAATGATATATTGGATCAACCAAAATATCATATTAAAGTGTAATCCAATCTTTGTAACAAACCCATAAGATATAGATAATTTTGTTGAGAGAATCTCTCCATCTCTCTCTTATTGTTGTAACTATAAATACACCATAGGACACCATCATTTCAATGGGGTGAAAATTTCCCAAATTATTATATTCTAATCTCAGTTTTTTAACTCTTGGAGTACCCACTTAAAAAAAAAAAAAAAAAAAGAAGAAGAAGAAGAAGAAAGAAATCCATATTTGTACTTTTTATATACATATAAATGTATGTAGATTTTATTTTTTACATTTTAGAACATTTTTTTATAAAATGAAGATGAAAAATTCCCTATTTATAATTTATATATATATATAAATAAAATTAAAATTAAAATTAAAAATTAAAAAAAAACTTTGTAAATTTGTGAAAAGTTTTACTTGAAATTGTCCCCAAATTGTGTCCTTGAGAAGCCAAACCTCCAACCCGACACTAAGGGAAATATTAGTTCCCAAGATATGCTTACAACTCTTGTTGAAACCAATTTTGTGATTTCAGCAGATTTTCAAAACTTTTGTCTAAACCAAGCTCTCTATTTACATTAAAATTAAATAAAAAATTAATGATCACAGAAAATAAATCACTGAAGACTGCACATCTAGTAGCTGAAGTCAAACAACTGCACATGTTTATAACAATTGTACAAAACTTCACCATCAAATATAAATTTTATCCAAGAAAGGAAAAAAATGAGAAATGAAACATGTAAATGTTGTTAGAGAAACTTGTATGTCCTTTGGGCATTTAAAAAAATGGTAGTGAAATTCGCGCTCCAAAATAATACTCTAGCACTCCACTACCATTATCAATAAAATAACTACCAAAAAAGACCCTTGTTGTGTTTTAATGTTCTACCCTCTTTTGTTCCCTTTCTTGTCCAACTTCTCTTTTGTTCCATTGCAAACCTCTGCAATTTTTTTTTTTCTTCTCCCGATCAGTAATTCTGGATTCTTCTTATAGCTCTATATCTTTTCAAAATTTTACGAGCTATTAGAAATTTGAATGCAAAATCAGCTCCATTGTTGTTCATATCAGTGGAAAAATACCTCCTTGATTAGTGGTAGGTTAGCACTAGAATTGTGTAAATATTTGTTTCCTAGAGTTTAGGGATTTGTGTAAAAATTTGTTTCCTAGAGTTTAGCTCCATTCATAGCCGATTGTTGAAGAATGGAGGAAACTACTGTTCAACCAAAGAAAGGTGATGCAGGTTTCGAAGCGTGGGACGAGGAGGACTCAATGGTCATGTCCTGGTTGTGGAATTTCATGACACCTGAAATCAGCGATACATGCATGTTCCTACCAACTGCGAAGGCCATCTGGGACGCTCTCAACCAGACTTACTCCAAGGTTCGTGATGCGGCGCAAGTATACGAGATCAAGACAAAGACAACGTCTACAAAACAGGGGAACAAGTCCGTGACTGAGTATGCCAATTTTCTGCAAAACCAGTGGCAAGAACTGGATTACTACCGGGTGATTGATTTGAAGTACAGCGAATGCGCTGTAATTATCAAAAATTTCATTGAAAAAGATCGAGTTTATGATTTTCTCGTTGGCCTAAACTCTGAATTTGATCAAGTCAGAATTCAAATTTTGGGCAAGGAGGAGGTACCATCTCTTAATGAGGTGATTTCATTGATTCGGGCTGAAGAGAGTCGGAGAGGAATCATGCTTGAACCTCAGTCGATTGATAGCTCAGCACTCGTAGTCTCTGGTGACAACAAGCGGGGTTTCACTCTAGAATAACCGCAAAAAGCTGAACATGGAAAGGCGGAATTATCAAAGGGGGCAAACCGAGATAATCTTTGGTGTACATACTGTAAAAAGTCGCGACATACCAGGGATCGTTGCTGGAAGTTACACGGGAAACCACCCACATCCAGCCGAGAATAGGGAAACAAAGGAGGACAGCAACAACGACAACAAGGACAAGCCTATATGACCTCACAGGTGGGTCAGGACCAGGCAAAAGAATATGGAGGATTCGACGGTGAAGAAATAGAGAAGTTAAGAAATCTGCTGGGAACCCTTGAGAAACCATCTTCTGGTGCTTGTTCTTTAGCCCTCTCAGGTGAGTCTTTATTCTCCCTTGGATTAAATGTTTCTGATAAATTGTTTGTGGATTCATGGATCATAGACTCGGGAGCCACAGACCACATGACACATGCCTCAAACCAGTTCACCACAACCACGGTTGCTGGTGTAGGAGATATCCATATCACCCCTAGTCTTGTTCTTAAAAATGTTTTACATGTTCCTAAATTGTCCGCTAACCTTGTGTCCATTCAAAAGCTTACTAGAGACTTACATTGTCATGCTACGTTTTATCCCTCTTACTGTGAATTTCAGGACCAGGATTCGGGGAGGAGGATTGGACGTGCTAAGGAAAAGGAAGGACTCTACTACCTTGAGACACCGAGCCTTCCGAGTATGATCAGGACAAATTTATCCTCTTCGTTTCTCTCTTCTTCCAATAAAGATGTCATATGGTTGCATCATTTTCGTCTCGGACATCCTTCTTTTGCAATTCTAAAAATCATGTTTCCTTCTTTGTTTAAGGGATTAAATATTGGGACATTTCATTGTGATATTTGTGAGTATGCAAAACACACTCGTGTAGCTTTTCCCATTAGCAATAAAAGAAGTTCCTACCCTTTCTATTTAATTCACAGTGATATATGGGGACCCTCCACAGTCCCAAATGTTTCTGGTTCGCGGTGGTTTGTGTCCTTTATCGATGATTACACTAGAGTCTCTTGGATATTTTTACTCAAAAACAAATCAGATGTGAGTAATATCTTTCTCAATTTTCATACAATGATCCACAATCAGTTTGGTACCAAAATAAAGAGGTTTAGGTCTGATAATGCGAGGGATTACTTCAATCAAGTCTTGTCACCCTTCTTTCAAAAGGAAGGAATTATTCATGAGTCATCTTGCACTAATACTCCACAACAAAACGGAGTAGCTGAAAGGAAAAACGGTCATCTCCTAAACACTACTAGAGCACTCTTGTTTCATCAAAATGTACCAAA